ACAACCCACACTCAGCTATTTGTAGTGTGTAGCTCTTCTGAAGCTGGCAATGCCAGAGCCTGCAATAACAAATGTGAGCAGAACTGATGGCAGACTGCTTGCTGCTATCTGCAAAGTCATCAGAAGGGGAAAAACTTCAGAAAGGCAGACATTTCATTTAAATTAAATGAAATGAAAACCCGAGACTCAGCCCAGCCTACTTCCACAAGTACAGATTTACACTGCCTGAAATTCTCCTCTGCAACAGGTAATCAGGGCTGCCTGATGCAGGAGGAACATACTTGCACTTCAGTAAATCTTCCCTGGTTTTAGCATCCTCTCTTCTTATGTGTAACTGCATTTTGTAGTCCTTTTTTTTCAGGTACTGTGGGCCTTTTCTTAAGAGGCCTTTCCGATTTCTGTCCTGTCCAAATTGATTTCCTGGTACTAGATAAGGAAAAAATATAGACAATGATCAGAATATACAAAGCATGAGGAAACAGCTGTTAGGGTAATTAAAACTATAATTTCTTTCTTTGTTTCTTTCTTTTTTTTTTTTATTTACCAATTTGGTTTCTAGCACTTTAGTTAAAAGACAAGACATTCACAGAAGATATTAGGTGTACATACAAGTTGTCCTTTCATTATAGTTTACACACTGTTGCTTTTAGAAGGCAAGGTTTCTTTTTCATTTCTGTAGGATGGATAATGAAATCTGATTAACAGAATTTAGGGTCTGCTTTTCAAAAATTACACCCTTTCAGGATCACTATGCTTGCTGGAATGTAAAATTGTCTTGAACAATTTTTTTTAATGTGGAGAAACCACATTAAAAGCTATTGCTTGTCAAACTGAGATAGCTTCACATTTCAACAGACACCCTGGAAATTAGATGCATCTGCCATTAAAGGACACTGTTTTAATTAAAATGTAATTATTTACTAGACTCTTAAACTGAATTCTTATCACTACAATAAAGTTGTACACATACACCACTGCTTTGGCAGTTTTACTGAAATATTTATTATGACCATCCTTTCACGTACAGTATGCTGACTAGAGCACGATATTAAAATGCTGCCATACCTTTGAAGTGATAACTGCTAGAAGAGATATAAAAGGTATAGGTAATGTTTAAGACAAGAAAAATACAAAGCAGAAATGCTCCAGTACTAATTAAAGATACGTATTCCTATTTAATACATCTGAATTTTCTATCAGTAAATATGGAATAAGCAGTGTGTGAAAGACTTGATTCAAAACCACCAGATTGGATTGCAGATTCCCCCTCAAGGCTGGGTTGACATCAAAATTAGTTTTCCACTATTTTGGCTCTTTGGAGCTCCACTACTCATTAGCTGGTCGTCTGCATGTGTTGTGAATAAGGATCCAAAATATTTCTTACATTATTTCACTGAGAGCCCTACTCTCCAGCCCAGTCTTGCTCTCCCAACCACCGATGGCAGTTTTGCCATTGATTCCCATGGAATTGGGAATAAGCCTTTTAGAAACACAACTGCGACACTTCGGTTCTCCAGCCAGCAGAAGAAGCTACATTTTCCTGCACAGTTCAAATAGGTGAAGCAGCTAAAAAGAGGTGATAAAAAGACTGATTATTTAAATATTCTTTGGGAAAAGTACAGAGTTCTATAGAAGCATGATCCGCTCTCCCCTCCAACAGATTTTCCCACTACAGGAATATGGATAGTACCTGTTACATCATGGATTTTTAGCACAAATAAGAGTGGGTGAAGTAAACTATGGATGTTGTTTCAACCTTCAATAATAGGGTTGCAGAAGAAGAAATCCTCAGAATAGATATAGTGCTAGCAAAATATACAAGCTACTTCTCTGAGCCTGCACCTGCTTCACTGTTAGGCGGCCTAATGACCACTACCTATAATTAAGCATATGCCAGTCTCAAAAATGATATACAAAGCATACAGGCAGGAATTCAGCTACAGTCACCAAATGCCTAGACAGACACCAGCTGCTAGTCTACAATACCATGTCTAAGATCCAGTTTAAGAAGGAACAAGAATTCTAATAATTAAAAGAGTTTCTAGAGTTATGAAAGTGACTGTATCACAAAAATAATGACAAGAATGAAGATTATCAACATTTTAACACAGCACTAATGAATTTCACATAAAGAGGTCCATGGTGTCCAGTCAATGGAGAGATGCGGATGCTTGCCACTTGCTTTCCGATATTTAAAACCTGTTTTTTAAATTTAAGACACTAATTTATAACTATTGCTTGCGCAATGATCAAAGGATGTTTTCCAGAAATTCTTGCTTGCAGGGTTAGTGTAATCTTTTAGAAAATCAGTGAAGAGATGTCACAGGCCTCACCACCATAACCCAGACAACTGTCCCTTGCTATGCCAAGGACTCAGTTAGGCACAGAGACCAAGCTATCTTTCCTTTCTAGTGCCATGCTGAGGCATTTGGCAAATTTGCACTGTGGCTGCTAAGTCTGTCTCTCCAACTTGAGGCAGCAGAGGACTCCAGTCTCTCAGGACACATTAAGTCTGATCCTCCTCTTGGACATTAAGTTCAGATTAGTAAGTAACTTTCTGCTGCAAACCAAATCCCAATCTATGAAGATTATGCTATATTCACTTCTCTTGGTAACTTGAAGTTGCAGGCAAGTATGTTTTTCAGAGTGGACTAAAATACCATTAAAATCAAATTAAACATAAAATAATGTATATAAAAGGGAATGCCTTTTCAATCCTACAAAGACATCTGTGATTGCTATGTATTTTGCTGAATAGTTAGGCAGATCTAGCAGGCTAGATCAATCCCATGCTGATACTCTCCAAGGCATGGAGACCGATCTTAAAGATTAAACAACAATAAGGACTTATCTGCTTGACTGAACACAAGAGAGGGAGAGGTTAATACTTGAGGCAAGACAAAAGACTGCAGAGCACAAGAGTGACAAGTGATTTTTATGCCTAGGATTCAGGTCCTTTTGCCGCATAATATTACCTGAGACACGGTCATTTTCTTTGAAACTGGCAACTTTTTTGACTGCTAATTTCAAATCTGTAACCAGAAGTAGTCAATAGGCTTGATTTGCTCTGGTACCTATGTTCAATGAATCCTGAAGAGGACTTAGGCTACCATCCTTAGAACCCAAACTACCTGGCCTTGTTTGTCTGACAAATTGTGCTTACAAATTTACCTGGTAAGACGCCAATATTTTCTTCCCCCTCCATGATTTTTTTTAATTTTAAAGCATCAACTAGAATAATGAAAAATACAACCAAAAAGATATGGAAATTAAAGATGCCAGCACTGCTCAGTGTAGTAGATTGCAGATTTGCGTGAAAAATAAATGTTTCTTGTACAGAAAAATGGATTAACTCTGTGCATACTAAACCCAGCAATATTAAAGATAAAGCAAATCTAGGACTGTCACAAGCATCAATACTTTTAAAGGGAAATTCTTGGTATTGTTTCTGTTCTTTTAGCACACAGCAAATGCCCTGCAATACATTCATTCCTTAATTCTGTTCCACTGCAAAAACTGCCCATTAAGGCCTTAAATTCCTATCAAATCAGACCACTGGAGAACCATGTTCCTCTGCAGAGGGCGGGCTAAAACTATGTTATTGCCATCAAATGATATTAGGTCTTCAAGCCGCCCCTTTGCCTTTCCTACAAGCTGCCTGCCTGTTTCTCAGGTGATACCTACAACTTCCCTGGTATAAGAGGGGACATGGGGTGCAATCCTGCACTTGGCATTGTCCTTGCTATTCTTAAAAATGACTTAGAAAGACAGCAAAATAGTTCAGGTAAATCTCTGTATTGAAAAGTAACTCTTCACTGTGTGCTGTGTGTTTCTCACGTGCTCTCCGAGCAGTTTCCTTTGCCTCATCTGCCTGCCTGCAGAGGCTTTCCTTGCAACGGGACTGAAACAAAGGATTTAAAGAATAAATCACTATGCTAGAGTTGGAAAAAAAGTATTATGTGAAGCCTGTGAGTTCAAATGCATTGACTAGAGCTGTGCTAATAATTCTGTGACAGCCTATAAAAAAGAAACAGAAGCAAACAAAGCCTGACTCTAATTCCCTCCTACAATGCTTATGCCTAAGTACGCCACAGGCAGAGCCGAGTTTAAAGTGGCACGTGCTTCAGGTCACCAGTGCCATGGCCAAAGACACAGGAACAGACTAGGTCTACAAACTCACACTGTATCATCCTCCCTCAGAGACCAACAAAATAATACTACTACTACTAAACCACTCCCAAAGCTTCCTGTGCTTTATGATAGTCCTCTCTGGTAGCAGTAGTAGTAGTCGTAATAAAAGTATTTTTACATCGCTGATGAGGATTGTATGCAAACAACAAAGTGCCTGGGTCAAGAAGATGGATCCTGCCAGGGTTGGTGCATGCTGATGACATGTTGAAAAACTGACGAGTATGATTTGCATTAATCCTCACCCCCCTGTCCCACTCCCAGCTGTGAACCCCAGGTTCAATGCCACCAAAATTAATGGTGATACGGTCAAGGCATGGGGCTGAGGGCAGCCTATGGGGAAGTGGCCAGCCATGAAGGAACACAACACCAGGAAGAAAGCTCTGCCACTTGTTCTCAGGACAGAACTACCCATGTTTTAAACAGCTTTTAAAAAATGTAAAAAACCAGCCCCGTTTCTCATCGCAGGTATCCAGAACACTTCTAAACACACACAGAAATAGACAGGTATTACTGAAAATTTTAACCAATGCTGAAGCTGCAAAACTGCTATTTGTTGTAGTTGTTTGAATACAGAAGGGGCAATTTGCTGTAAATAAACATTAAAAAGTATTTTTTCTTAAATGCTTGAGATATTCTTCTTTTTCACTCCAGTCTCAGTGGTATTTTCCTGTCACTTGCTCCTCCAGTTGTGCTGATCTTTTTACTATACCTGTGCTCAAGCGTCCGACGCAGTGTTCTCTCCCCACTGCAAGAGTCATCCCAGTCCCTGGCCCAGCTTGTATCCCACCCCAGGCCCCGTCCCCATGGGCTTAGATAAGCCATTCCTTTTTGCTCTCATCGATGGTTTCTGTGAAGTTAGGGTCATTGTTCATGATGGCAGCGTCGGCACTCTCGGCTGACTCTGCCCCTTTGGCCTCATTGGTGTGGTAGGTTCCCTTGTGGCGAAACATGTAACGGATCAGGAACACCAAGGTGCAGAGGATGGTAAAGATCACCACTGCGATGATGCCTACAGAGGTGGAAAGAAAAGATGCCACTAGTGAGGAGAACATCACATTTTGACACAAAGAAAGGATCCCACAACTCCTCTGAGCTGAGCCGAAGCTACCTGGGCAGTTAAACATCACCACAGTTGCCTGGTTTCCACTACTCTAATATTTATATATAGTTTTCACTACATACAAAATGTCACTGAGTGGAGTCTGCTAGTGACTTTCATCCTGTAGGTAAACTTCAACATTAATACCTACTTAGAGGTGAGCTTTTGCTGATTGTGAAGCAGAGGATTCCGAGTGCTCCCAAAACACAAGGGTGAAATGGTGACATGTCACTGCCTGGACAGCTTTTTGAGGATGGAGTTACTGACGTATACTTTCCAGACAACGGTTGTATAGATCTATCATAGACCCTCAACATGTCCTTGAAAATTGGCTTGGCTTACTGTTGGCTCACTGCACTCACTAGGTGCTGGCTCCACATAATTACAGATATAACTGCTTTATCATCAGCCTTATTCTTAATCGATCTCCCTGCAATGGTCTATTTGGGGTTCAGCCCTGTTATGGAGCAGTCATATATCTTACCCTCTTAGGCATAGGTAACTATGTGCTAAAGCAGCACTGTTCCTTTTTTGGCCCTTCTCTATAGCCATGATGATCTTCTAGGATGAAGATATTATAAAATTCTCAGGTTAAAAAAAATATTGTAATCAGCCAGAATTATGTTATGCCACTTTTGTTAATTGGACAGCCAGGCTGTTCAAGTGTGGCCTGAATTTTTCTGAGGAATGCAATGCTGTCCCTCTAGTATTGTAAGATTTCAAAGTATTAAGGAAAAGTTTTAAGTAGTAATAAAAATATAAATGAAAAAGGAACAATAACATAAAAACTAAAGCAACTAATGTAAACCTGGATATGGAAACATAGATCCTTGAGGGGGCCAGGGAAAAGATACAAGAAATTCCATTAGACTGCATGTACTACTATACTCAGTGTTGCTTTACGTGACAAAACCCACCACCAGTATGTCATTTTATACGCATTTAGAACTGACTGAAAGCTATTAGGGTGATCTTTACAATTTATTTTTTTAATATGCCTTCAGAATTTGATGCAGTGGCAAAGTTCTCCCAGGGGATTTATGGTACAACACTTCCACACTATGGGACAAGGCAGAGAAAATTGCAAGTCTGCATAAAATTAATCCGGATCCTTATTTCTGGAGGCAGCTGGCCAGAATATCTTCAATGGAATGCTAATTCAAAATGCCAGTTCTGATATTACTTAACATCACCTATCACACTGAATGGGACTTTCCAGCACATAAGCTATAGAAGAACTTGGCTCCTAAAAAGCAAGGCAGGATCACGAGGGATTTTTGGCAAGGGTGGAGCAAATAGTGTTTGACATAGATTCATGTTGAATCTGCTGTAACTGGAAAAGTGTCTTCACCATTTCATGTAAACTAATTACTCTGTTAACATAAGTACCTACTGCAAAGTAGGTCCCTACATGGATTCTTAATATGTGCATTATGAGTATCAGTATTTTGATTTGGTTAAAACTGAACCTGAGGAGACAAACTGAGAACAAACTATTTCACTAGTACAATGTGCCTGAACGGACTTAAACAAATTTCTATTTAACTTTCTTCAGGTGTAGTTTTCCTATATATCCAGCTCTTAATAGCTTTAATATGTTACCAGTTGCAATTCAGCCATCACAGTCATACTGCAAAGCACCTTACAAAAGTAGATGTTTTTCCTACCTCCAATAATGGCAGAATTTCTGTTAACTCCATCTCCTATAGCTTGACCGTTGTATGGGAAATCAGCACTGGCTGTAAATAAGGAATTAAAGATTCATGTTGTAATAGTAGTAAAACCTCACACAGTAGTTCAGAAATACATCCAACATCCTCAGATACAATTTAAAGAAAATTCTGATCCCTAGATATTTATCTAAAAAAGAAAAAAATTTTCACTATTATCTAATCCCTCAGAACTTTGTGCTTCCTCCTCTTAACAAAAATAAAATTAAAATAAAGGAGGTACTCTCAGGAAGCATTTATGTTAATACAGGAGGCAATTTTGTTACTCTACTAACAAAAATTCAGTAAGTTTCTTTAGCACAAAACCACACAAAATCTTTTATTTCAAATGAGTGTGATTGTACATATTATTATGAAGATTTTTGCCTTTGTCACTGCTATCCATGAAAGACTTCAGAAGTTTCTAGGATTTAGTGACCATCATTGGGTACAACTGCAAGCCCTTTGAAAGAAAAACTGCCATCCCTTTTGCTGCTGCACAGTGTAAGGTAAGCAAGTGGCTGCATTTTCTGTTGGTCAGAGCCTTAGAGCAATTACCCAAACGAGCATGTGCCAGCACCTTTGCTAGTCTAAGGAGAAAGCCCAACGTGGCAGCTTAGCTACTGCTGTGCAAGTGCTTTGGAGCTAAGATGCAAGACTGTGTGTTGGAGAAACTGAGGCATGGCAGGCAGGAAAGCACGTGGGAGTGGAGAGCCTCCAGCTTACAGGTGAGGAGAGGAAATACAGCCAGATGTACCATCGCTCACCTGCCAGCAACCTAGGAAATGAGAAACTCTTTCCGTCAGAGCTGGGTGAACGAATCTGTACAGGTTTAAAGTAGATATGGATGGTGGTCTTAGTTTTAACCTCCAGAAAACACCACAGAGGCTTTTCAAAGGCAATCTCATCAACGAAGCCGCCGAGGTGAAGGGCTCCGGAGTGGAAGATCGCGCCGGG